GTATATAATATATATATATATATATATGTATATATATATATATATTATATATATATATATTCTTTAACTTGGGCAGATCCTTTCATCGCTCATGGATACAGTTCTGTGTCCTCGCGGGATACACAGATACAGTGTTTTCAATATAAATAAATATCGTACACACGAGTATAGTAGCGGAAGTTGTGTCATAATGAGTGTGTATTTATTTTGGATCTTCTGATCTAATATTTATCGTCGCTCTAATTTTTTTACCAGTTCCGGTCGACGTCTGTCATAACATGTCATATAACATCTATGACTTCTAGATCGTACGGCTCTATTTCATTACCAACTGTGTAAAGTGCCATCCGCCTTCAATTAAAACATGACCATATAACATCTATGTCTCCTACATCGTGCGGCCCTGCGTCTTCACCAACTGTGCAAGTGTCATCTTTCTGTAATTCTAATATGACATACATATCATCTGTCTCCTACATCGTGCGGCCCTGTGTCTTCACCAACTGTGCAAAGTGACCATCCTTCTTCATCAGCTCCTGGTACGTTCCACTCTCCACAATCACACCTTCCTTGACAAACGCGATGGTATCGGCGTTCTGGATGGTCGATAGCCTGTGTGCAATTGTAATGGTGGTGCGTCCCTTTGAAGCCACGTCGAGCGCTTCCTGTACCAACCTTTCACTCTGAGAGTCTAGGGCGGACGTGGCCTCGTCTAATAATAGAATGCGCGGGTTTCTCACCAGGGCTCGTGCAATGGCCACCTATCACATTGGAAGCGAGTGCAACGTGAGTATGTATAACCAGCAACCATGTAGTATACTGCGACTCTTTACAACTGCATGCCTACACGCGTACGCAATTCACACCAATATAGTTGTTATGCAATTCGTACAAATGAAATTCTCTCCTCATTCGTAGCCCAAACGTACAAATCATAGAACTGGTCAACCGTGCAGCACAGAACTGAGTATGCATATGCTTAGCACCTTGACCAGTAATGCACAAGAAAAAAAGTGTTTGCAGCGCATTTGTACGAGAGGGTGCAGGTATCAAGGCATCAGACTTCTCTGGCAGCGGTTGCCACACTGTATTCAGATGAATCAATCCCTATATATCACTAGCTGTACTACAAGTGTCGCGATATAATACCTACCATGCACTGAATGTGTGTTCTTACCCGTTGTCTCTGGCCTCCACTCAGCTGTGAACCTCTGTCCCCAACATCGGTGTCGTAGCCTTGTGGTAATTTCATAATGAAATCGTGTGCGTTGGCCATCTTAGCCGCCTCGATGATCTGCTCTTCGGTTACTTTGGAGTTGCATTGGGATGGAAGTTAAGTGATTGTAGAGGCAGGTGTAGTGGGCTTCGCCATGGCACTAGGTGTGTTAGGCAAAGATGACGTCATTTGGTACTATTCAGCCTTGTCGTACATGTATGCATGTACCGATGAGATAATCAGTCCATAGACGCGTACTACCAGACTGTATACACACAAACGCATACAAATTCATATATAAATACCAATCCATAGCAGCCCTCTTACCTGGAACGTCGTTCTCCTTCATACGTCCATATGCAATGTTGTTGCGTACGCTTGTCTTGAACAGATCGGGCTCCTGGTTGACCAACCCAATCTGATCACGCATAGACATGATGTTGAGCTTGGTAATGTCCCTGCCATCGATGGTGATGGTACCATCCTGTCATATATAGCAGTGTGTGTGGACTATATTAGTTCAAGCGCGGTAGACATATTACTGTTGGTTGACACCAGGGGCTAGAGAGCCGAGAGCACAACATCACACACAGGGAACGATGCATACACTACGACTAGAAGTATAGCCATGCAAGCGTAGAGCTGGGTATAGGCTAATCTCATCGGGGAATCACTTCCAAAATAAATGTATTGCTTTGTATTTACGACACTGGATGAATACGCACGATGTCGGTTGTACATATGTTTTCCCCTGGAAAGGTATGTATGAGTTCAGTACTAATGGCTGCAGTAGAGCAGTGGATAGGTAGATCTTACCTGTAACTGGTAGAAACGCTCCGTCAAAGCGATAAGCGTGGATTTTCCGCATCCACTCTCACCAACAAGCGCCAGGATCTTACCTGTGGAGTTGGACAGAATCACAAGGGTATGGGCATCTTGGCATGTATGTTGACATAGAAAGGCTGGGTTCAGATGACCTAATAATTTTACAATACATACAATCTACATACTGTCACCACAACAAGCACTATCACACACTGTATTTGCACATACGAATGCACCCACAAGAACCTAAGCTATTCCTGTAGGTCGGCTGCACACATACGTATACCCATATACAAACACCCACGACCATGTCAGAGAAAGCTTACCAGGCGCTATGCTGACGTGGAGATCTTTTAACACAGTCACCTCACGGCGTGTGGGGTAGGAGAACTGCAGTCCTTTGAAGTCGATGCTGCCTACTACGTTCTGGATGGACTCGCCCTCAGTGCTCTCACTGTCTACGGGAGGCACGCGGTCAAGCAGACGGAACACTTTCGTAGCTGCACAGGATACGAGCAAGAGAAGTGACTAGTGAGATGGTGGTATCTAGTGACATGCTGTGTGCGGTGGGGGGATGGGCTGCTTAAAAGACTTGTATGAGCGTAAGTAGTACGAGGGAACACTTTCGTAGATGTACAGGACGAGCAGAGAGGTGGATCTGCTGTGGGATGGTGGTGTGCTGGGTAGTGGTATTCGATAGACCGTATGAGCATATCTAGGACGATCGGTGTGCCCATTTTAATCAGTCGCCTTGCCAGTAGTATAGGCTAGCACATGCTTACATACTTAGACCTAACTTCGATGTGATGATATACTCGAGAACAAACTTACCAGAAATCGCTGCTTTACCGGCATCGGGCATCATAGCAGAAACCTAAAAGATGTGTGAAGGCGTACGGAATGGAGAGAGTGAGAGGGTGAGTGATGAAAGTATACACGAGTACCCATGTATGCGTATGTGCATACAATCGTGCATACACGCATGCTTGTGCCTCATCGCACATGCGTATGACACAATGCAACAGATTGAGATATACCAGCATATGCGTGCTCGCATTTGAATAGTACGGTTCTAGATGCACAGATATACAAAGGTTTTCATACCTGTCCCAGCATCATGGCACCAAATACAATAGCGTTGATCGCCATCAGCATCTGGTCGAAGCTACACTCTCCATCGTCAACCAACCCTACACAGATACACACAGGTGAAATACATTCAACACATGAGGTATGCGTAAAAATCGCGCCAGATGTGCACGACCCTTTCCAAGCCAGCGTTATAGATTACAGAACAGCACGTGATACCCGAGAAGGTCGAGATACTACTGACTTCTATTCGCCCAATACAACAGACTGACCAGATACTACTGAATTCTATTCGCCTAATACAATAGACAGACCAGATACTGCTGACTTCTATTCGCCTAATACAATAGACAGACCACGAGGAATAAATCACAACCCCCTGAAACGGCACATCCCAAGCACAATATAGACTTACCCGCACCGAACCAGAACGCCAACGCCCAGATGGCGAACATGCAGAACTCGGAAAAACCGAAACCAACACCAGCAATCTGTGAGGATTTGACGGTGGCCTTGTATGGGGCCATCAATTCCTCCTCATACTGCTCGATCTGTGCGCGTCGAGGATTTAAGAACGAGGAAAGTGAATGGGGGCCGATTATGCGGCATGATACGCGCATATAAAGGGGTGGGAAAGAATACCGAAGGACGTGCCACGGTTTAGCTGGTGTTTAATCACCGTATGAACAAGTACCTGTTCATCAGTGGCGTTAATTGCTAGTACAGTTCGGATTGAGTCCACAGTTTCCGATGCGATGCTTCCGGCCTTCTCGAACATAACGTTACCGTCCTTTTGGAAGCCTGAGATTGCAAACCATAGACAAAGGCTTAATTACTACTGGCTAAAACCTTATTTCTAAGCATCTAGTTACAGTATATGACAACAACTTTCAACACTTTAAAATCAACCCAGTATGCATGAACCCCCAAATCCCATAAATTATTAATGTATGAAGACAGTTAACTCACCAGTCATCATCTTCATCTGCAGCATGCCTCCGATACCAATAGCCGGTACACAGGCAAGTACCACCAGCGCCAACAGCCAGCATTGCGTGAACGCGATTGTCAACCCAAGTCCCATAGTAGCGATTACATTGACCAGACTGCCCAGACGGTTACCAGTCACTCCCTGTAGCGTGATTGAAGCATTGGAGTGAGGGAATGTATATGGAAATGACTATGGACATGCACCGTGCCTCTTGCATAAGGTAGGTACAGTTGGTTGTGTATAGGTAACCAGCAATAGTACTACCCATGACTCCTTAAATCTGTAACTTCCCGATCGACAGCGATCCGTCGTTGAGCACACATCACTACAAGAAAACAATTGCCATGGACCTCGTGCGCGCTCAGGAAATTCATCACAATTTTTAATGGACGCACTAGGAAGAAGGGCCTGGTGCCTCCCCATAGGAGTGAGTACTACTACTCGTACGCCTATATAAACAAACGCATACCCATGAAACTACACAAGCACACCAGCACACACACACACGCGCGCGCGCATACACACACACACACAAGCGCATGCATGTAAAGCAGTAGCACATAAAAACACCTGCACGTCAGCGGCCTCAGTGCTGAGACGGGCTGTGAGTACTCCCACGGAGTTGTTGCGATCGTCAAAGAACCCAACATCTTGCCTCATAATTGCCTTGAACGATGCCAAACGCATCTATTAAGGTGAATAAATTGAGTTAAAAATTAAAATCTGTGGTTTTAAAATAAATGGATATGTAGTATAAAGCCCATAGCAGAATACTATGGATAGCACATGGAAACATCGCCAGCCATAGCTGATAAAGATCAGTAACCCCTGGGAACGCTTAGATAATAGTTTCGAGGGTGTATGGTATGCCCCAGTAGACAAGGGTGCGGCTGTGTATGTATCTCTCGCCATATATTCAAAAAGCACACATTGCTAACAATATACCGCATGTTTCTTCTTAGGACATGCAGACATGCCCGACTCACCTTCTGAGTGAGTTGTTCACCGCTGATGGCAAGAGGTGTAATAGCCAGCCATTGGACGAAGAACACGGCAACGCCCAGAGCCACAAACATCAGCGACCAGAAGTTCACATCGTCCTGGTTCTGCTCAGTCATCACCGTGATGAGTTGTGAGAAGATGATGGCAAACCCGGGCCACACAGCCCCCATGCCCAGGTTACCGAGGAGACCTGTGCGTAACGGGAACAGATCACGTCAGTGAAGGTGGATACCTATCGGCAAGACACGGTATGCGTATGGACAAGATTGTTTTGCTTATAAATGCCAACGCGTACACGTGTACCAAGCATGATTTTTATTCGGCTCACACAAGTGTATGAAAAGGTCTACAACAAATAAAGAATGGGCAGTCAACCATATCTTTGACACACCAAGAGCAATCAGTTTCCACTCGTCTGCGTTCATTTGGAAAGCCCGTTTTATGACGCCGTCATCAACGTCTTTTATCTGCGACATTCACATTGAGGATATGTTAATACACCCGGCAGCACAATGTGGAAAGAGTCTGTGAATGTCAATGACTATACTTCAATATATTTAAGTTTTATGTTGCTAATCACATCCCATGACAGCTCTAACAGCAATCACTAGCTGTTGCTTAGTATCGAATGAGAAACTGTTGTATTGCCCTGTGAGTGCTCAGCGCTTCTAGATGCACAACCTGAGTCACACATACGTTCAGAAGAACACTTCAAACTCTCGTGAGCAAGGTATTAAAGTCATGCGGATAGTAACCATAAGACAGACTCCCGCAATCGATATATACAGCCACATATACAACCATCCACAGAAATGTTCTCAATATTAGTGAAAAGTATATGGACAGGTCACTAATACACCTCATCAACTGCCGGAGGTTGATCGGCCCCCTCTTTCCTCAAGTACTGCACCCGTTCGCGCACGCCAACTGAATGTTTTGTGGATATACGCTTCATGGACGAATGCTTGAACGATGAGTGGTTAGATAGCCTGTTGAAGGAATGGTCGATAGAGAATCGAATATATTAACGCAGAGCAATTACGTATATGTAAATTTCCCACGAGAATGCCTTGCTGCGTTCTGGTTCATAACGTTATAGACACAACTTAAGAACATACTAACAGAAGACATTGCTCTAAATCAGCCTGGTCTCGGGATCCAGCTTCCAAAAGTCGAATTGAAGACCATATGCAAATCGTAAAATGCATAAATATGAAAATATAAAAATGTGTCACATATGCCCGGCAACAGAGACGCTTTTGCACTGCCCCTACCTAACCATGAGGCGGGCGATTTCACGACCAATGTCCAAAACCTATTCATACGTACGAAAATGCATTTTTATGTATAAACTTGAATTTGATCCAAACACACATATGCTTACATGCAAATACATATGAACATTCATACATTCGTCTGAACCAACAGTCAAGAAACATACACACTGTTGCGCTTCCCCTGTCTGGCCATGGGGTCGGTAGCTTCATGGTACATTTCGTCGACCATCTGCTCCTCTTCTGGGTCGGGGTCTTCTGCTTTCATCTGTTGCAATTGCACGAACTCGCTGTATGCACCACCCTTTGCTAGTAGCTCCTGGTGCGTACCAATCTCTACAATTTGTCCCTGCAATTGATCCGAGATAGAGATTAATATACGCCGATCACTATACAGCCTAAATTGGCTTGGTCACCAAAAAGATACCACTCAGTTGTAGAAAGGGCCCTAATACCAACCATCAACGTCATAACAAGCTCGCTGCCCAGACAAGGCACAAGCTAAGCACAGAAAAGCATTTGCACCAGCACATACGTAGACCCGTACGTATAACAGCCATGGTAAGGCCTTAAAAGACCGTGTGAGATATCAGTGCAGGAAAGGCAAGCATAGATTGCGACGGTTCCGCATACCTGTTTAACATTCCTAACTGATACTCGTAAAAAAGAGACATCAAATAGACATCAGAATCAAAAGCACAGACCCATGCGCTGTAGATGAATATCCGTTTCGATATAGGACACCAGGTCAAGGTAAGTGTACACTCAACGCAAATGTATACATTCATATAAAAATATCCATTCATATACACATAGGCATTCATTACATACACATTCAAATACACATTCATATACATATATACGTCTATATACATCCATATACACATATACATTGTTTGACATGTATGTATACACGCACATATTATATAAGTGTCCACGTACCGCCTCTACCACGGCAATGGCATCTGCATTCTGCACCGTAGTCAGTCTGTGCGCAATGACAATGGTTGATCGTCCCTCAGACGCCTTCTCCAGTGCTTCCTGTACAATGCGCTCGCTCTCGGAATCGAGAGCACTAGGACAGATATGAAAAGGAGAATGAGGTGGTAGGTATCAGTATGTATTCAGAACTTGTGAAATCACATGGATACAGCAGGGCATTGTCGTTGCATTCGTATGTACATTTGTATAGAAGATCAACGACCCATACGTTCAAAATCTGCACACGTTTATACTTGTGCTGTCGAATCGTGACGAGCAGGTCATGGTAAGAGAAAAAAAAATACACACACACATGTAATTTATATATATATATATATATTTATATATATATATATAATAGAACATATATAATATTATATATATATATATAATATAGAAATATATATATATTATATATATATATATATATATATATATATATATATATATAATACTATATATATATATATATAATATACCTACCCAGCATCATAGAAGGATGCCCTTGGATTCAGGGATGCAGCCTTCTTCGCTTTGCGACGTCGGATTACCACGAAGGCCACGCATCCCAATAAACACGCACACACCACCAGCACAAGCAAGCCAACCAGTCCCACTGTGATGAGTATCTCGCCTGTGGTCATGCCACTGTCCTTGGACGTAGCAGATGTCGTTGGTGCTGTGTCGGTGCTGAGATCAGCCACAGCTTCTTTGAGGGCCGCGTCGACCTCTTCGCAACCTCCGCCTAGTGTAGAAGAGTATGGGCAATTGGGTAAAAGATTGTGAATAGAGTCCACTTTGAACAGATTGCGAATGGTGTTTACTTTGGATATACTTTCTCCATTTATAAAAGCGTACTAAAACCATTTTGGATTGCAATCTGTATGTGGCTGTGTGAAACATGGAACTAGGAATTGAGTATAGAGTTTTGTTTGCGAGATGATGAAACCTAACCGAGAAATGTCATTAAAGTGCTATTGGAGTGTACTTTCTATTTTTGTTGAAGACAGTGCAAACCGTTGAGAAGCAGATTGTGAACAGAGAGCTTTTTTTTGTTCAGAGGCTTTTTGTATTGAGGACGTGGACCGTTTGACACCGATCATGAATAGAGAGCTCTTTGTATTGTTTGTGGAGGATCGGAACTTGGGACAGGATTGACAGTCGAGGTGCACTTTGGGTTTATTGACTACAATGGATACAGCATCTAGTGTAGTTTAGAAGGACTAGCCAATGAAAATGCTCTTCCTGTGCTATGTTCATCTTGCTATATGTATGTAAAGATATGTGACACAATCAAGTAAGTGATCAACAGCTGAATATAGATCTAATGTGTTTCAATGATTACAATCTATTCATGTCGATGAATGCAGTCGTATCGATGGTTGCATATCTACAGAGTTTTCCAGCAAATGTAGACAAGTTCAAGTGAATTCGACCAATATATATTACATCCCCAGCCATATTTGTGTATTTTGCAGAGAAAACCACTCCGGTGACTATACATAGCATCTTCCACACCATCCACGTGATACCGTATTCAGCCACATGAAAACATCCACACGCTCATGCTACAAAACAAAATCAGGAGCAAGTACAAAAAAAGTGACGAGCATATATCACAGACTATACAACATAGCCGTTAGCACATACCATAGCTCACACAACAGAGGCCTGAGCATATACCATATAGTCTACACAACAGAGGCCTAAGCAAATACCATAGCCTACACAACAGAGGCCTAAGCACATACCATGGTTTACACAACAGAGGCCTAAGCACATACCATAGTTTACACAACAGAGACCTAAGCACATACCATAGTTTACACAACAGAGACCTAAGCACATACCATAGTCTACACAACAGAGACCCACACAACAGAGGCCTGAGCATACACCATATAGTCTACACAACAGAGGCCTAAGCAAATACCATAGTCTACACAACAGAGGCCTAAGCACATACCATAGTTTACACAACAGAAACTTAAGCACATACCATAGTCTACACAACAGAGACCTAAACACATACTATAATCCACACAACAGAGGCCTAAGCACATACCCTAGTTTACACAACAGAGACCTAAGCACATACCATAGTCTACACACAACAGAGACCTAAGCACATACCATAATCCACACAACAGAGACCTAAGCACATACCATAGTTTGCAACGCGAACCATCTTGTTTTCCAAGCAGTTGGTGCGCGTCAGCACGCACATGGAAGGGTATGTAACTCCATCACTGCCACAGATAGCCTTGGCATCTTCCGCATCTATTACAGGACATTCGGGACATAACTCCTCGATGGGAACGCATACATCGCAGCAGGGATCCACTTCAGGTCTGGACACTAACCGTTCAGTGGTTGCACAACTGCGCGCGAACAGGATGAATATGTAAGCACGGGCATGCAAGCAATAAATTCGCTTATACGTATACATACATAATATATATATATTATATATATATATATATATATATATATATATATATATAATATAACATATATATATATATATATAATATAAAATATATAATATATATATATATAATATAACATATAATATATATATATATATATATATGTAACACGCACATACCTGGTAGCTTCATCCAACAGCATAATGGTGGGATCGCGGATCAGTGCGCGTGCAATGGCGATCCGCTGTTTCTGGCCACCACTCAACTGGGCGCCACGATCACCCACCAATGTATCGTAGCCTTGGGGCAATCTGGAGATAAACTTGTGTGCGTTAGCCGCCTTTGCCGAAGCAATGATATCGTCCTGCGTCACCCGTTGGCGCCGGAACTTTTGCTCGGTAGTGCTGTTCGGGGTCCAGTTAGGGTTCTGCGTGTATGTGCAGGTGTTGACGTGAGCGTGGGTGGATGAATAGATACGGATTTGCGAATGTATGCTTCGAGACAGGCAGGAACATACGTAAACATGTATAAGTATGTATGTATGTATGTATGTATGTGTTTATGTAAATATATAATAACATTGAGCGATTGATGTGCGCACGCACATACCAGCACACTACACTGACTCACCTCTTCAATAGCGGCGCCCATGGCAATGTTCTCGCCAATACTCTTCGCGAACAGAGTGGGCATTTGACTGACGATACCAATCTGTGACCGCAACCACTGAATGTTCAAGTCGCGAATATCCACTCCGTCTACGCTGATCTTGCCCCCGCTAACGTCGTAGTAACGCTCGAGCAACTGGATGCAGGTACTCTTACCGCAGCCACTGTGACCGACTAAGGCGAGCGTCTTTCCCCTGCAAGTTTGAATGCATATGAGAGCTACATTATTTAAAAGACCGATAAGCTAGTACGAAGGTTAATTAGGACAATGCAAAATCAAATCGTATGAACGACGGCAAGACATATAACAGATGACTGATTGGCATTATTGCACTTACCCATCGATTGAAAAGTTCATTTTGTTGAGAATCTTCTCCTCTCGCGATGCATATTTAAAATCGACATCCTCGAACTTGATGTTGCCTTTACACGACTTTGGAATTTGACCTGGGGATAAGATAGTTAACAAACATGAATAATCTCCATTTAACATTCAAGTATATGTAATAGTCGATAGATGCATCGACGAAGGTATTGTTCTGCAGACAATTACTCGAAGATTGAAACGCAAGCCACTTAACTATAGCTCTACGGTGCGCACAGGAGTGTACTTAATTAGATGTTTACACCCTCACATAATCAAAGTTGTACTGTGTGCAGATGTGTATTTGCAAATGACTCTACACCCACTTACTTACACTTGTACTATGTGTGTACTTTTAAATATTTATAAACATACCCTCCGTGCTCATATTGTCAATCTCGGGCTTTCGGTCGATCACATTGAAGATGTACCAAGCAGTGCCCGTGCCCTCGGAGAAGGCGGTGACTGAAGGGACGGCCTGTCCTATGGCAAACGCACCCATGACCACAGAAAAGAACACAGTACTCACATCACCCACAGACATCTCTCCGTCTACGGCCAGCTTGTTTCCGTACCTGAGTTGCAGTGGGATGTGTGATTGAATAGTGACGTCTTTGACGACGCCCGGAAATGCCGTTGATGACGTGTACTTATGGTTGTGAGACATGCCTTACCTGAGGTGTAGTGTGGCACATAAGCAATGTATTGGGTGACTCTACCATGAGAACACTGCTGACACATGATGTCTATGAACGTCACTGTGAGAGCTACTATTGGGTATCATAGGCCTAATCCCGTACCTTGCATGTCGTACGACGCACGACTCAATGACTGAGTGGCAAACACTATGTGAGCACAACAAACTTGCCATTGCATTACCGTCGCAGTGTCAAAGTCATCTATACGAACTGAAATCGATGAGACTATTTGACAACCTATCGCACGGCACAACCTATCTAACATCTATGAGCACAATGCTACAAACAAAAAGAGCCAGAGACGGCTTTGCCCACAGTTTGTCAAAATAAGACATACGTTTGCAGCTCCAGCAAGCCACGCTCTGTAGAAAGGAACACACAACCCCGCATCCGTACATACTTTATTAGGTACATGCAAATCGAGCAATGGCATATTATGTATACATATGTTGCAAACGCAGATACAACCCTGATGTTCAGTTCATTTACACTACACACCACATACCAGAAACCAAGCGCGTATGTCAACATCATGAAGCACATAGTGAAGGCCATGCCGGCACCCTGCCAGAATCCCTTACGTGTTCCCACTCTCAGCGCCTCTGTTGTGTTAATAAGATGTTACATTGGCAGTAATCGTGAGCTTCGTCACCTCTGCGTTTTAAGCATTCACATGTAAATTGAACACTCATTTACATTCAATCGTACACGTTCAAGTACAGAGTAATATAACAAAATGTGCGCACACCTTCAAATACAAAGGTACTATTCACACACACCTTGAAGAGCTATGCCATATCGCTCCACCTCAACCTTCTGCCCCGAGAAAGCAGTTACCACTCGGATCATATTGATAGCCTCTTCAGCAACACCACCAGCACGTGCATACGCCACCTGTCCTTCTGTAGCAGCATCAGCCATCATCTTGGCCATGAGAGCGCCTGGCAGTAGGAGTGTATGATTGCGTGATCATATTAGTGATCAAGTAAAAGCTTAACTANATATATATATATATATATATATATATATATACNTACNTATAGTANACACACACACACACCTACGAACTACGACTACG